TCAGTCTCTTACCAACTTAGCTGTAGGGTTCCACATGCTTACAGGCTGAATAAATTGTTTATTATTGTTTAGTTTTGTATCATTACAGATTGTTAAATGAAGGCTTTACTGACGATATTAAAGTGATGTTTACACCATTGTTGGAGTTGCTGAATAAAACAGACTTTTGTTGGACTTAAGCAAATTGTTTCTAGTGTTAATTTCTATCAATGTGCATTGTTAAAAACGTTTGCTTGTATTCTTCTTATAAAAGAAGTTGACTACAAACTAACTCCCACACAGTATTGCGTGCAAGGGTCACGGGCCACTGGCTTCATCGGACAATGGGTAAATACTAACATTTTGCTTAAAAATACGTAAAATAGGCATCTTCGGACTTTTTTATGGAACATTTTGCTATTTGAGAAAAAAAAATCGAAGCATTATTTTTCTATTTCTCTCTTTATTTAGTATTTACTTTTTACTTTTCTCTATTTCTTTCTTACTTTCTTTTTGACTTTTTAAGTTTTAACTCACTTTCAGTTTCTTTCATTCTTATCTTTCTTGCTAACTTTAATTTTCTTCCTTTCTTTTTCTTTTCTTTCTGTTTGTTTTGTTCATATGTAATTAATTGAAACGTCCAGTGAATCAAAATGTGGCATTTAGTATTAAACTAAAGTTGCACCCAAAGTTTTCCGGTGAACTATTGTAATGTGTTTTCTCCATCCTCCAAAGCGGAATCGCAAAGCTTAAACATGAAATAAAACAAAGGAAACATGCGATATCCTGGCTCCACAAACCTCCTGATAATTTCTCCTAAATCAACAAGGAAAAAAAAAAAAACGCATTGTTTATGAAACAAGTACGTACATTCTCACATGAAATAAAAAGGTTTGAAATGTTTATATAATATTATATCGGGATGTTATTTTGATCGGCAAAGACCGGATTAATACACCAATCCCAATTGTTTCATTCAAACATCACATAAGCAAATTTGGCGTAAGTCGATTTGTGCACTCTCGCAAACAATGCTTCCTGTTCATCAAAGCGTCAACACATACCCCACACAAATGATACCAAATGATTTGGGATAAAATACTCTTTCATAAGATATATAATAATTTACTGTTTATAGATGATTTTGAAAATAATTAGCAATTGTCTATGTGTAAACTTTTTTTGACTCACACTGTATACGTACATTAAGTTGAGGGAAGGAAATAAAGGACCGACTATCAGCTGGTATAACCCATGTGAATGCGTACACCCACACCCACACAAAAACACACAATAGCAATACAAAACTAAGGAGAGTTCAGAATAAGAAAGAGAAGAAAGGGGAGAGATGAGACAGAGAAAGAAAAGAAACGGTAGAGTTCAGAATGAAAAAGATTAGAAAGGGTCTACCCAGTCAAGGAAGATATTGTTTGAATAGAGTTCTCAAACGAGAAAAGGTTATTACAAATTGAATTCCATTCATGAACTCGTGTAAAAAGCGTATAATTCGTTCTTAAAGTTTAACGGGTAATATGAACGCAAAGATTATCCCGTGTACGGGTGTGATACGTATGGAAACAGAGTTGACAAAAGACTTAACTCCGTTTCGTTAAAGATCAGCCATGCATCAGGTCTTTCGTCTGCTGTGTGCATGGCTGAACGAAACGGAGTTAAGTCTTTTGTCAACTCTGTTCGTTGCAACGGCAGGCAGCCAGTAAAAACGAACCCGTTTGATGAAATTATGGAAATGCAAGCATTACTTTAAACAATAAGAGCTTTGTTATTCCTGGCTCATTTTTTCCTGATTGAGGTGTCATATGAAAGGGGAGAAATCAAATTTTCTAGAAATGTGACTTTCCCTTTAAAATTCAGGTACCGCCCGCCAAATGACTTTTTTGTTTCCTTTCTTCAAATTGCTTTTAATCACTCAATATGCATCATATGAGTTGCATCAAATGAAAAAGGAGAATCTAAGCTGTCCAAATATGTGTCATTTTTTAATTATAATTTTGATTAAGTTATGATAAAACATCGATAGTTCTCGGTTTCGTTTTTTCTGGGACGCACCGTATAGGGCAAACGATTATTGTCAAAGGCCAACCTTTTCTCGTCATATGAGTAATAGCTGACATAAACATTTCCGTCAATAGAAGGACAACATCCAGCCAACAGGTCTCATTGCACCTTTTCACAGACCCAGAACGGGATATCATTGCACCCACTAGCGTACCAGTGTAAGTAGGGAAGAAGGGAGGTTTGAGAGGTTTGAGGATAGTTTCAAGCCCAAAAGGGAAAGAAAAAAAGAAGAAAGAGAGTAAAAGAGAGAGAGAGAGAGAGAGAGAGTGAACAAAAGAAAAGAGAAGAAACAGATTGTAGGTGGGGGGGGGGGGAGAAATGGGATTTCCTTTTCACTTATTTTAACTATTGCAACTTCTTATCTTCAGGGGCTTCACCTCCTGAAGCATTGAATAAAGTTCCGCGAGACCTGCTTAATTGTTATATTACTTTTTATTATGATGAAAAGGGGACAGGACTGGGGTTATGGCGTCGATCATGTTTGATCAGGGCTTTACTTTTTGTTTTGATTTCCTTTTGATTTCCGATCCATTGCATGTCCGACATACTCAAATATTGCTTTCGCGTGACGTTTATGCTTCATCCACAATATAAATAAATATATATGTATATACCTTTTTCTTTTAAGACATTGGGGTAGAGAGTTAAGCAGGAGGTTTAGGTTCCTGCAAGGGTGCAAAACAACTTGCCAGCTTCATCATTGTTATTGTGCTCGAGTGGATGAAAAGCATATATAAAAAGGCCCCTGAAAAAAATATCGCTCTTTAAATACCTGCATAGATATGTAATGTTTACATGGCCAATTTAATGTCTACGGGGCCCGTTAAATAACTGCTATTGAAATTGTCGCACTTGATCTAGGGGCTGATAAATTTATTATTACAAAAATAGCATTGTTATTGATCATGAACATTTAGAAAGAGGGCCCTGGAGGATATTTACGAAGTGTTTACTTTTGTTCGACACGTACGGTAAAATGCCACGTCACTGAAATACAGCACGATCTGCACATGCGCTTTAAGAGGAAGCGATTTTCATATATACGTTTAGAAAATTGTCATCGATTCATTTATCAAGCAAATCAGGGTGGATCCCTTGCATTCATACGAGTTCCTCCTCTTAGAAGTAGCGAGAAGTATTTTGCAAATACTTATTACATAGTTATTTCTGCATCCTTGTCTTGTTATTCAGCGGTAACTTCAGTGGGTAAGTTAAAAAATGAAACATTTATTCAGGTTATTGTATTCGGAGAAAAAATGATAAGCGAAAATATGTTTGCGCCATGAATATTTTCTTTAAAGTAGAAACAAGTATTAAAAGCTGTTTGTAGACAAAGTATGACAAATAATTTGCATAATTGTCTGCCCTAAAATCCTAGTCTAAAATATGATTTCTGTTCATCAGTTTATTGCCTTTCTTTGTCTTTGTTTGATGGTTTGTTAGTTGTTTTTTTTTCATTATGGTTAGTTCCTTTGCAATCAATAAATCATTCATATGTCCTCAAAGTATATTCTTATTTATTTCTGAACTTCATTAAAATGTTATATAATTGTGTGCGTTGATATACAAATGCTTTAAAAGAGCGCTTTAGGTTAGTGCCATCATTGAATTATATTGTATTTTGGTGTACTTTCTGGCTATGTTTCAGAGTTGAAATTAATAAAATATGTTTGTAAGTGTGTACAGTATTGTACTACATTATAAATATTTCTTTTCGACTACCTGAACTGTCGGCTTACTTTGTTTGAAAGAGTTTCTTTCGCGAACAATGGAGTTTCCCAACTTAAAAAACAACAACATCTTTATATCTATATACAATATTGGTTACAACTTCATTTAACATATTTTGTTTTGATTACCTAAACTATCACTTTAATTTCTTTGAAATATAGGTTTTGCGGCCAGTTTCATTTTGTTTTATATTATAGTTCATATTCTGAGCTTTCGAATTCGTTCAAACTCGCAGCGTTAAATCAGCTTTCAAATTAAAACTCCGTTCATTCTTATTCATTATCCGTGCAATCAATTCTGGAGTGGATCCAGGCAGGAGCACGGACAGCCCGTGCCCCCACCCTTTTGGTGGCTGAAAAAAAAAGGAATAAAGAAACAAAAATAAAGAGAACAGGGGGGAATCATGCATATGGCACATATCATGAAAATGTCCTTGACGGGATATTGCTAATATATTTTTTAAGCGTTCAAGAAATATGGGTGTTTTATCCAATGTTTTATCTATATTGATAAACTACACATTTTACACACACGTGTAATACGACTGATAAAAACGGGTGACTTTTGTAATTCCAGTCTACCACTATTTGTTATATTAAAATTTCTCCCATAGTTTGAACTATAGGATTTCTCGGTCACTTTCGTAAGTTGGCCACACAAATTCATTTTATGTTCATTCAATTTCGCCGATTCTGTCACCGCAGCTGTTATTTTTCGTTCAAATTCGTTTTTTAGCATTTAAATTCCTAAAACGATCATTCAAAAACATTTCATTTTCATTCGAATTAAAACGTTTTTTTTTTTCGTAAAATTATTTTCAATTTAAAGCGAGACGATTCGTGATTACGCGTTTGGCAGACAAATTAAACATGTAAATCTTACTCAGTATGATCATATAAAGAACCCCGCAAGCTTAGTTCCATGCTAAATACATTTCAAGTTGTATGGGTTGGTAAGTTAACAAACATGTTATTTGTCCTCACTAGGGGTGTCTACCCACTAAAACATCACTATTTAGCAACTGAACGATCATGTGTTAAAGGTACTATGTCCCTTTTGCAGCCAACCTCAAATTCTGTAGAACTTTGCAGGAATTATGAATATGTCATGCATGTCCTATCTGTGACATTTAAACGTTAGCAGTGTCCTCATATTCAAATTATGCAAGGAAACCCGTTTACTTGCTAGACTTCACTGTCAGACACTATTAGACCGGGATGCAAAGCCCAAAAAGTCGATTTCTTGTGACCACCGTTAGACAACTACCTTATATTCTCAGATATTATGTATAAATATTATAAATGTCTTGTCTCAAACTCGACAAGCGTGAAAATGGAACATTTTTTAGTAATTTGAAAAAAACCGAGAAAAATATTTATTTTTTCAGCATGATCGTAAGCCAACCAGCTTGCGCGTTTCATCCGATTTGGAAGGGTGAATCCTCTCTCGACCAATCGCATCACTCGTTGCAAATCACCTTCACTGTACAAGATGGACGCGTACATGTCTTCATCATTGCGTCGGAAGCTGATGATTCTGAGGGGAAAACTTCTTTTTACTGTTTCATGCACGCAATCGAAACCCATGAACGAGTTATTCCCTTTTTAGAGAAAAACTTCAATCAGTTTTTAGAGTGTTCCACCCTATGGAAAGAGCTGAAGAATCGTCCAGAAAGTGTCATCGCAACCAAAGCAGACGATGCAATGAGTGACGATGTATGCACAACAACAAGGTGGGCTATGTAGCTGTATGTATGCACTAGCACTTGCATGGCCTTTGTTTGGCAAATAGTGGCATGATGCCATGTTTAGACAATAAATCGAATCATGTTCGTACCAATACGATATGATGTGTAGATGTGATATTTATTGTGTTTTAGTATTACTGCAATTTAGGTGTCTAAAATTGTACCTGAATTGCATTAACCTACAGAGCAGAGCTAGAGTAGGCTAGAGTACGGAGTAGGGCTATAATTCATTCACAGTAATGTAAATTTGTTCTGGTTTAAACTCGTTTAACGTCTGACATAATTAAGGTATCTGTGACCCCGAAATAACATTGAAGTCAGTCAGGTCACTAGCTGTAGAGCATCTACCAATACCATCCAAGTTTGTTTACAAAACGGGCAAATGATCGCAAAGTCATTACAATTTTGCAAGCGAAATAGACCGACAATATATGGATTCTTAATCTCACTCCACCACAATTCGAGCTGTATGAAAACTTATATCATATTCATGTATAAACATCACTTGCGATGTACATTGTAGTGCACAAATAGTATGTCACTTTTCCAATTTGCCAATAGCTTGTGGAGGTTAAGGAGAATTCTTATAATTCGAGCTGTATTAACAGAACTTGTTTAATTTCAAGTATCATTACCATATATTAATCTTTTTAAGTATTCAAACCAATCGCGATGTACTGCAAGAATAGTACGGTATGTGACTTGGTAGAGAAATCTTCTATTTCGATGTTGTAAATTAACAGAAAACCAATCCACTTGTTTTTTTTCTTCTTCTTCAAGATAATCTGCCATTCTGCCTCCTTCAATACTGAAGATTCTTGCTGATGCCATATATATACTTTGCCTGATTGGGGTATGCGGGTGGACCACTACACCGGGGTTTCCTCCTACTCTTATACGAATAGTGCAATGGGTTCTTAACGTGCAAGGGTGTGACTTTCCTGTACACGGGGCCTCCATTTAAAGTCCTATCCGAGGGATGGATTGTTTTCCACTTAACATAGCCTGTGTCTATGAAACAAGGGGAAGGTCACGTTTACACACAACGCAGGCTTCAGTCATCCGCCTGGGTGCATGGGATTCGAACCAGAGATCTTTGGTTTGACAGGCAGACGCTTTACCGACTGAGCCATCCATCTCGCTTCCTATAATTCATGTATCACAATCACTTGTGATGCACTGCAAGAATAGTATGTCACTTGGTAGATAATTCTTATATTTTGAGTTGTATTAACATATATCTACAATTCTACATGTATGTTTCAAAATCCCTTGCGATGAAGGCAGTAAGAATAGTTTGTCATTTTTCCAATGACTCGTAAAAGTGGTAAATTCTTATAGGTTTTTTTTAAAAGCTGTATTAACAGAACACCAATTCACTTGTTTTATATTCATGTATCAAAATCACTTGTATAAGTGTATAAATCAATGAAGAGGTGATATTCTATTTTTATTTGAGCATGTTTATCATGGTCAATATATCATTATTTGAATATTCATTGCTTTAATCACACTTCTATCTAAGTTCTTGCACAAATCTTCCTATTATTTGCCTATATTTACAAGTAGCTTGGTATTAAAACGTGAGCGAAAGAAATTTTCAACTAGATATTTTGTTTTGCAAGAAATACCAGTTTGTCTTAATATTGTGACGATTTTGACACGGTTTCATATTAATTTATATTGGAATTTATCTGTGTCCTTAGAAAAATTATATAATGCTGAAGATTTTTGTACGTACATGTATTGCATACTTTATATTTATGTTTTGTTTACCGGTATATGTATGTTGATAGTTATTCAAAGCTAATGTATGTACATATATGTGGTTGACATTGATACACATGATTAGTATGTGCACGCATAACTTTATTGTTACACTGCATACTCAATGGATGTGCAACTCAGAATAAGAAGAGAAAGGTTAATGACATAGTATCTCATGAAATGCTGTTAATGAAGAAAAGCTGAAAACGTAAAATAATAACTACATGCATTTATTATGTGTCAAATGTGCAAGTTATGATAATGTTCAGTACTGTTATCAATATTATACAAATTGAATATGATGATGCTTTTGTCCTTGTGTGGATACTTTTTGTCATTCAGTCAAAATTATTTACGGTCTGCGATGTTGCAGGGGGGGGGGGGGGAGGGGGTTGAATTAGGCAAGAAAGGAAGATTGAGATAGAGAGGTAGAGATTAAAGAAACAATGAGTGAGATAGAGAGAGAGAGAGAGAGAGAGAGCAAAAGACAGAGTGAATGTATAGAGAGAAAAAATCAGAGAGAGAGAGTCAAGGAGGGGGGGGGGGGAGGGGGTGACATGAGAGTAAAATGTGGGTGAAGGATACTTTGGAAAAGAAGATCAGAGAGTCGAGGAAAAGAAAATGTGATGAGCATATACACGTATCAACACAAAGCAATGGTGATAGTTTAAAATAATATAATCATCCTAATATTAATAAAAATTACTTCACTAATTATAATTAAATCAAGATCTATATAATTTATCATAAATATCACTTTCATGTTCATATCAATATATCATCTTTATTGTTAGTATTATCATTGTTATCATGCTTATTATAGTTATTATTTATGTTATTATTAAATTAGATCAGTATCATCATAATCATGATTGTTGGTCTAATTATATTCATTAAGTAAAAAAAAATAAAAAAATTGCAGCAACCCCCCTCCCCCCCCCCCCCAAAAAAAAAAAATCCCTCGCATAGGATGTAAAGCTAAGCTAAGTTCACACTTTATTCTTTAATCATGTGAATTACAAAGTTCAACATCCTGCACATCACAATATTCACCTCGAAAAAAAAAGGAACAGTAGATCGATATCCACACGCATTGGGCTTATTTTCTCTATTTGGACTCAAGAGGGCGACAAACAAAACTATGATTAATCTAAAGTATGATTACTAATTAATGTGCAACTTTCACGCTTGACGAGTTTGTGTGGTTATTGTTCTTATTTTTTTCCATCATTGTGCAAAAATTCAGGTAGTTGCCGCTCGGTGGTCGCAAGAACCACAAACTAGAGCACTTTTTGATGTATGCATCCCAGTCTATATTGAGTGACTGGCTGGCTTTTTTTCTTCTTTGGTAATAAAATACATGAAAAGAGTTGTAAAGGGTAAATGAGCATTTGTCTACATCAATAACCCACTTCTTATGATGGCCAAGATTAAATTAGATGAGGGATAGTGGTGCTAAGGTAATGACTTTAATGCTATATGTACAATTAAAGATAATCTGAAAATTTGAGTGAAAACGGACCATTATTCATGGAACGAATTGGGAAAGACTGATCTGATCGATTCCTTAATTCTCCCAACTATATTATTACAATTCAATTACAATTTAGGTGAATGGAAATCGTCACAAAGCAATAAAATGGCTCTACATTCCATTCCAGAAATCTTAGTGTTGACATATTTTGTATAGCCTGTTTTATGTCTTTTTTACATGGAAAAACGGTTGGGAAAATTCAAAAAGGGTTGGGAGAATTTACTGTTAATCACTGTTAGAGGGTGTCATAAATCGACTCCTTCAAAGAAGACCATAGATATCTTCGTGGATTGAGAATTTGTTAAGGATTTATTTGCATGTCAGTGGGTTAGTACAGTAGAAGGAATATAGTAAGTAACATTTTATACAAAAATTAAGCATTTTTTTCATCAACCTTCAACAATGTTACCAAGCCAATTTAAGCAACTTTGGCGCAAGTCGATTTTTGCACTCTCGCAAACAATGCATCCTGTTCATTCAAGCGTGAACACACTCTACACAAACAATTATACTAAAAGATTCGGGTTAAAACACTCTTTCATAGGATGTAAAATAATTTAGTGTTCATAGATGATTTATAAAATAATTAGTAATTTTCTAGGTGTAAACTTTTTGTTGACTTACTCTGTATACTGTAAAGGTGTCACCCTAGACCAATTATATGTGATAAAAAAAAACTACCAGTTATTTTTGATTTTTACTAAATTTTTAGATTTTTTTCTTCGTAGATTTAGCTCCTTTTGAAATGAAACATGATCTTGAACCTAAATTTGTTCATAAAGTCACTGAAATTTATTCAAATTTAGTAACAAACCTTTCCTTTTAAATAGTAATAGTGAAATCACAACTAAAGAAACCTTGGAAAAGAAAGTAAACAAAATATCACAGTTTTATTCCAAAAGGAGCTAAATCCATTTCATTCCAAGAGGAGCTAAATCCATGTTTTATTCCAAAAGGAGCTAAATCTACAAAATTGTAAAAATTTAGTAAAAATCAGAAATAACTGGTAGATTGTTTTTCTTATCAAATTGTATTGGTCCAGGGTGTCACCTTTAACATATATAACAACATGTAGGTACATGGCTAAAGGGAAAGTGTAAAACTAAAAAATAGGTGATTGAAACCGATTTGGATTTAACTCCTTTTGGAATTAAATATGATATTGTACCTAACAACTTTCATACTTCCTCGTGAAATGTTTGAATGTTATGTAGTGCATTTTGTCCCATGTAGGAAATCATTTTTGTAAGCCAAAAAACTCATTTTTTAAATAAAATATGGATTTAGCTCCTTTTGTAATCAAGCTCTTCATGTGTTGATAATATGTTAAGAAATAATTCTTCATTCAATACGTATCACACTACTACAAGGGATAATCTATGTGTTCCCATCACCCTTTAAGCTATAAGACCACATTATATCTGTTACAGGAGTAGATGGATGGAATTCAACGTGTAATAACTCAAGGTCAAGCTCCACACTTTCTAGTTTTATAACTATATTCTATTTTTGAAACGATATTATCCTTGAATGAGTAAACCCTTTCTTATATTTCTCATTCTCACCTCTTCCCTTTCCGCTCTTTGTCATTCCCACCTCTTCCGTTTCTTCTATTTCTTTGTCTCACCTTTTCCCTTTCTTCTCTTTCTCTGTCTCACCTCTTCCCTTTCTTCTCTTTCTTTGTCTCACCTCTTCCCTTTCCGCTCTTTGTCATTCCCACCTCTTCCGTTTCTTCTATTTCTTTGTCTCACCTCTTCCCTTTCCTCTCTTTCCCATTCTGAACTCTCCTTTTTCTTGTTTTGCTCTTGTGTTTGATTGTTGGTATGTGCATATGTATACATGGGGGAATCCGGCTGATAGTTAACGGTCGGTCATTTTTGTGTTTCTTCTTTTTAATATACGTACGTATATCTATATCGTAAGTTTGATTTATTTCGCCATCTAATTTAATATTGTGATTAACTTGATAGGTGCCTCATGTTCAAGGACAAACTGGCCTATTATTCATTCTATATTTATGATTTGTAATATTTGGTTAGGATGCCAAATAAATTGAATTACCATAACATTTAATTTAGAGGAATACGATCAATATTGATTTGTTCTGGCAACGTAAACTTTGTCAAAGGCAATATTTCCTCTCTCTCTCTATCTCTCTCTCTCTCTCTCTCACCCTCTCTCTATCTCCCTCTCCCTTCTCTTCCGTCTCTTCTCTTCTCTCTCTATGTCGCCCTCTCTCTTGGTCTTACTTTTTATTTATATATTTGTAATAGTACCCTGGGACTTTTGTAGACTTTGTTGATCCCTGGATCATCTGAGGTGACCTCTGCTCTTAGATGAGGAAAGAAAGATCACGAGAGTTGAACATAACAGGAAATATCTCCCACGTAGGCCTACTTTGTAAAAAAATGGGGAACGTCTCCGAACATAATCTTGCCAACAGTCAGACAGGAACCCAATGACTTTTACAATCCTATCGCTTGTCTGATTATCAAGATATTTATGATTGGAAAACAAAATTTAAAATTTAATTTTATAAAATTACAGTCTATTTGGAAAAAGTGAGTATGGAAAAACCGGTCACTCAAAGATTTTAACTTTTTTGGGGCACTCCATAATCATTTCGAAGCGCAATTGGTTTAGGGCTTCAATATCATACCATATAACATACACTAACAACGTGTTATAGCAATGCATCTCAGATTGAAAATTGTTAAACGATGGCTTTAAGTAACATAATTACTCTTTTAGCACAAAATTCAAATACAAAATATTGCTCAAAGCGCTTCGAATAAAAAAAACATGTACACCAACTTGATAAGGAACAACAAATTGATATATATATGCCATCTGGAGAACAAAAGAAAACCAAAATTGATCAAACATAATGTGAAAATGAGAACACAAACAAATCAAGCCAACAAACGATGAAATATCACCTCGATCTGTCATTACCAATTCTTATATTTTTCTCCTCTCTTTCTTTCTAATTTACTTTAATTGTGTATTTTATCTTGTTCTTGCTTACTTTAATATTTTTGTTAATTTCTAATTAATCGAAATGCCCAGTAACATCATAGGTGGCATAAAAGGATTGTACCCAAAGTTGTCCAGGTGAACTAACGTAATGTTTTTTTTTTTTAATCTGATATCTCCCAAAGCGGAATCTCATAGCTTAAAATTAAATTAAAAACAGCATCGGCACAGAGCAGATTGTGACCTCTTTAATAGGTCATAATACCATAGGAATCATGAGACATCCTGGTTATAAAAACCTCCTGATGATTTTCTTCTAAAGCAACAAGGAAATATATAATAAACCGCATCTTTTTTTAATACGGAACAAGTACGTACATTCTCACGTGAAAAAAAAGAAAGGGTTTAAATCATATTCCCTAGTAATGTTGTCTTACCAGTGGCATGTTGAGGGGAAGGGTAGAGCCCTGTTGGAATGACTTTTGTTTCGTTGTCAATAGGGGAGCTGAGGGTATAAGTAAATAATAAGAGAAGCACAACTGACGCCTGTTTTCGAGATCACGTTTGGGGACTTTCCCCATATTTTCACCAAGTTGGCCTAATTTGAAAACAAGCTGGGTGTTTTTTCCCGTTTTTTTAAAACTCTCGTGATACGGTCCTTCCTCATCCGGGAGCATTTGTCACCTGAGATGATCTACGGGTCAACAGAGGCTACACAAGTCCCAGAGAACTATTAAAAATGAAAACGCGCTAAAATGTGAAGCGATTTTCATATAAATACGTTACAATGTTGACAACGATTCATTTATCGAGCACATCAGAGTAGATTCCTTGTAGTCATTCGAGTTCTTCCTTTTAGAAGCAGCTACAAGATTTTTGAAAAATACTGAAGTTATTTTCGGATTCTTGTCTCTTTTATCGAGCGCTAACTTCACTGGGTAAGTTAGAAATCAATCATATGTTTAGGGTATTATATTTTGGAGAAAAAAAGCAACTGAAAAATACGTTTGCACCATGAATATTTTCTTCAAATTAAAAAAAAAGTCTTAAAAGCAGCTTGTAGAAAGAGTATGACAAACAAAAATTAAATAGATGTTTGCTCTAAAATCCTAACCTAAATAATTATGTTTTTCAGTGTATCTGTTTGTTCGGGTCTGTTTGAATTTGTTGGTTGGTTGGTCGGTTAGTTTCCCTGTGGTTAGTTTCTTAGCAACCAATATTCCTTCATATGACCTCGTAGGAATTTATTATTTATGTCGTAACTTCATGTACATGATATATGATTGTGCGTGCTGAGATACAAACGCATTAAAGAGCGCTATATGTGAGTGCCAGCATTTTTTCCCATTGTATTGTACAGTGGCAGATCCAAGGGGGTGCGGGGAGGGGGGCGCCTCCCCCCTGTGGAAAAAAAACGTGTAAGAACACGTTAATTTTATCTTTCTTTGGTGCTCACTATGACATGTATAAACAATATTGTACTACATTTAACATATTTATTTTCGACTACCTGAACTGTCTGCTTACTTTTTTGGGAAAGAGTATCTTTCGCAAACAATTGAGTTTCCATATTGTGTCAGTGTCTGGGGTAACTGTGGTAAACTGAAACTGAACATCTATTAGTTTAATTACAGGAAAAAAAAGTACTGCATATTTGTACCAGTAGCCATTACCTTGCTCATTCCGCTCCTCTTTGTATCAAGCTCAAAACCTTGAATATATTTGATTTATTCCAGTATCATACAGCAGTGCTAGGGCTCCTTCATTTTTTATAATCTTCTTCCATATAACATTTAGAACATGTTCCCAACGAATCTTAGTATTCATAATTATAACACAAAAAATCGAACCTATTTTTATCGTTGAAAACTTATGTTTATGCATGAAGAAAAATCTCCTCGGTGTCATCTCCCGGTAATTTGGAACTTACTAACAAAATATATAACCCTCTGCAATAACCAAAGATTATTACAAAATATCTGATAACGTATTATTATTTGTCCAAATACTGACATAAAACCTAATTATATTTTACACTATGCTGTTTATCTGGCTTATTTCTTTTTGCAATGTTTGTTTTTAATTTGTTTACATGTATTTCAGTAACAGAATAGGTTGAAATAACCAAATGATATCTATACTTTTAGGGAACTTATTTTTAGGTGGTTTGGCCTTATTTCAGTTTCCCTTTTTCTCATTCTCGACTGATTAATTAAGTCTTGTTGATAGTGTTAGCATGTGCATGTATTTTACATTATTGTAATGATGTATTGTTTGTATATGAAGATGGAAATAAATGAAGTAATGAAATAAAGATCGAGGTGCTCGATCTTGTAATTAAAGACAAGTCAGAAAGGATATTGGAACCAGCGGAATTCGATAAAAATATGCATCTTTTCATAACTTTATTCATCAGTATCAAGATTTAGTGGGATATTTCTTGTCGGGGGAAGTGAGAAGGTTGTATCCATGACAATACTTGCCTTTCTAAGGTAAAGATGTGTTGAATTCTCGACTCACTATGTTGCAGTATGTTGCTGTTTTTTATCCAACTTTGTAAGTCGAAAATCGGTCACACATATCTCTATGTACATATGTCTATGTAAAGTGGGTAACTATACACAATCGATAGGCTAAACAAAAAGATAATAGCCCCATTTAACACAATTTTTTACAATATATTATTGGGTAATTCGCTGATAAATGGACCCTGTTTTTTTATAAATCCAGAGAAAATGTTTGGATTTCCCGGGATTTCCGATTTATTTTTTTACCAATTTTTTTTCTAAATATGTCTAAGCTTTAAGTTGATGAATTTGTAACCTTGTTGTGCATACTGAATTGAATATTTTCCAGAGGTATTCTTCAATGTATTATCTTTCAACTGCGCAAGAAAAAAATAAAAAATAAATCACCCAAAATTACTTTTGGCGCACTTTGGTTCCTCCCTGACCTATTGTGCGTCGGCCATGCGTTTCATTCCCATCGATCTGTGCACAAATCACACTACGTGCTATTCATACACAAATTAAATACAATTGCACATTCGCATCGGCCCTATTATGCATACATTGTTTGTGTGGTTCATACATTCACAGTTCGCCAATGTGACTTCATAATATAGCTTGTCATAGGATATTTCGGAGTAATTTGGCGTGTTTCTTGGCATTAATTTTGTAATTGAATCATGGCATCTCAACCGAACAGACGGCTGTCACATACATTTACTCCACAAAGCTTTCAATATGAACGTGGAGCATCTTGAAAACGAACAATAGCAAACAGACAATACATGCTCATTGGACAGCAATCTCAGGAAGTCTGATCAATATTTATATTGTTCTGTCTCTGATTAGTCTAGCACCTCTTTGACAAAAATGCTCAGCGCACAAAAGCTATGGGGCCTTCCATAAATACCCTCCCTTTGCTTTCTGTTATATTGGATTTTCTTCTGGTTGGAACATTATTGAATCATATTGAATAAAAAACACAGAATTGTCACTAATGCTGAAACAAAATAGAGTGCAAAAGTTGTGTTGAAAAGGACAGAAGAGAACATATATTTACATACCAAAAAACAGTATCATACAGGCAAAGAACATTATATACCAAACGACTTTGATATAATAAGAAAGCTAATGCAGAATTCTACAACTTTGCTACTCAACAATTATCTTCAACATTTTCAAGTAAAAAGTAATAGCCTTCTGAAATGAGAGATACAGGTACATTCTCAACGCAGAAAAAGGTGCACGGTGCAAACGCACAAAGAGTTAGAGAGTGGGATGCACTAATTTCATCGAGGATTTCAACTCTGATAAGTGTTTCTCCATAATAATGAGTCAATGACTTCCCAAATGATATATTATTCGTGAAGTCTTGTCATCAACATTGTTTTCTCCTGTTTTTCAATTTGAGCCTTTCTACGAATGTTAACCTTTTAGCGAGGTTTTGTGACAATAATTGTCATCGAAGTTTAATGCTTCATTCTCCTATAGGGTATTAAGATATTTCATTTAAAAACAAAAATGTTAGCAGTTAGCATCCGAACTTGGTGCACAGTTTGGCACAGTTTTAATGTTCAGTTGATCATAATTCGCTGACACTAGACTTGGTGGACATATAATTAATGGTTATAAGAGTCTTTTTGTGTGACTCAAGGGGCGTGGGGGAGGGGGTGTTGAGTAGGAAAATAATAATGATACTGGGCAAACACGCAAACGGTGTCTAATTCCCCCATGATAACCCATTTCTATGTGTCTGCTAGCAATAGGCCAGCTAGCAACAGATATTTAGCAGTTTTGACAAGTTACAATAATGTTTTTTACTAGTTGTTAATAAATGAAAAAACATATCGAAATATTTGTTCACCATCTTTTGATCAGTTCACGCCAACATGAAGCTCCTCCTTCCCTAGATGACTCTGACCGCCGTGGCCCTCTTCGGTCTCCCGGAAGCTACCGGCCATGATCAATGCGTATGCCCATTTGGCTGGAGCAGATTTACCGGTAGCTGCTATCGATATTTTTCGCGAAAAGTCAGCTGGCAAGCCGCTCAAAACGAATGCCGAGGCTTGGGGGCGAACCTCGTCTCGATTCATGACCGAGCCGAGAACACCTTCGCTTACTCACTCATTGTTATCGACGGTTGTAATGCGTACACGGTGAGTATTTAAATTAAACCATTAAAGTGCAGAAAATATATCAAAACTGTCAAAAACGATTTGAATTGTAATGCACTTATTCGTTTAAGGGGGGGGGGAATTGCTCGGTGTAAAAATGTCAGATATAAAATTGTCCTTGATAAAAATATCAAAACTAAGGCATGATACAGGTTGTATAATGGTAATGGTTGTTTATATAAGGCTTATCGAAAAATGATAATGAAGGATTCTCTGCAGTCATTCATTTAGCGCTGCTTTATTATCTTCTTCCTTTAAACTTGTATTTAATCCCTTTAGGCCCCAAATTGTGACTTTTGCCAGATTGTTAACGAGGGGAGGCGGCGAGGGGGGGGGGGGGGGGGGGGCTATTCCCCCTGGCTAGATTTAAATGTTATCGACACGTGCCTTCATTTAAACAAAAAAGATACTTCTGTTCACGTTTTCATCTAACCTAAAAAACACCAATTTATCACGCGACTGGAGTAACGTGATTCCACTTACCTCTGTAAATCAAGTGTTTATGACGAAATAACCACTTGACCAAGCCGATGGTGGTGATAAATGAGTAATTATTTGGTCTTGTAAGCAACTTTATCGATTGGTTTCACATGTTATCCAAGGTGGATGGTAATAACCACGTTACTTACACCGGCTAATCGTCTAATTGTTCTGTCCGTGAATCTCTGGTTATATTAAATTTGTAATTCTGAGGTGTCTTACACACCTCTTTAAATGGTTTCAAAGTTACCATAACTTTCTTGGTTATGATCACGTAGCTAAAACTGATTACTAATCAAAGCTGTGAATCCGTGATATTTAGGTATGAAAAATTAGTAATTATTAGGTGTCTTAAAACACCTATTTAAATGGTAGTCAAAGTTGCCAGCAGTCCCGCGGTGATGATCTCGTGACTCAAACGGATTATTAATCTAAGCTGGGCATCGGTGATTTTTAGGTGTGGGAAATTAGTCATTGTGAGGTGTCTTAAAACACCTTTTTAAATGGTTTCAAAGTTATAATAACTTTATTGGTGATGATCACGTAGCTAAAACTGATTACTAATCTAAGCTGTGAATCTGTGATATTCAGGTGTGAAAAATTAGTAATTATTAGATGTCTTAAAACCCTAATTTAAATGGTAGTCAAAGTTGCCACTAGTTCAGCGGTGATGAATTCGTGACTCAAACGGATTAGTAATATAAGTTGGGTATTCCGTGATTTCCAGGTGTGACAAATAAGTTATTATTGGGTGTCTTGATGGTTTCACAGTAACAATTTAAGTTCCGTGGTGATAATCCCGTGACTGTTGGCATATTTCTATTTTCACCAGTTGATAACTGACTGTTGGCATATTTCCAGTTGAACCAGCTGACACCAATTAATTTGCATATTGAATATGGGGTGCGTGCAGATCTATGTTTTTAAACAATTTATCTGAATTGACAGCATATTTCTTAATTACTGATGAGTTAGTTATATGCAATTCATTTCGAAAATACTACAAATATAAATTACCAGTTATTAGGACATTTCGCTACTTCGTATAAATTGCATTTAATTAAACATGAATAAGGGAAACAGTAACTATGAACTAAACTAATGTGGTGGGCCAGTGAATAAGCTGAAGACGACAAGTTCAAACATAAATGAAAACAAAAGAAGCTCGGAATTACAGTTGAAGTCCACTTTATTAATTATATAAATCAGACGAAGTAATTATTGTATAAACATTTTGAATAAGCTGCTTCTCTCAGAGGCTTGGCGGCCATATCGACAGTAAACTAGCAGCTCATGCTAAACATGTTAACGAAATCAAATAAACTCTAAAATAATATGACTACAAAATCCCGCACATGGCATTTAAATACTGCGGCACCCGACGTGGCTTATATATCACATGATATACCCAGCCAACCAGGAGGACCCTTACAAAGCCAACCAATTACAAGACGGGATATATAAAATTACCCTTAGGTCATCCGACCAATTAAGAGAGGAGTTATACCTTGAATTAATTATAACCAATGACAAAGTATAATAGATAAGAGTGATTTGAACTAGTCACCGACAATAATGGGAGGAGTCTATCTCTTCGCGAGAATTTCGCGTCCCCGGCAAAACAGTCTATTGTCTAACGTGTTATTGGAAATGAACACCTCTACATCTTGATGTAGGAATTCATTTTCAACGTGCTTTTCGAAATGAACACTTTAATCTAATGCAAGAATTCAAAACCAGCGGTTGTTTACCCGTTGCCGGCATACTATTGGAAACATAATTAATGCTATTTAACTTTTAGGTGAATACTAATTTAATCAACCCAGCCCGGCTCTTATATGGCTCTAGCGCCCCCTTTAGGTCAAATGAGATGCCCAAATGAGCGTACCATTACAATAATTTCAATAAAATACAAGTATATGACAAAAATTCGATTAATTAAATTATGTAAGTCTACTTATTACCAATGCCTTTACATTGGAAATACAGACGTACCAATATTGGCAAGTGTTGTTGCCGTTCAACTGGTTGGACATTTTACCAAATGGTTTGAATGGCTCAGCTAGACCAGTTGAATTCGAACTGGCCTGGATCAACTGGAACATTTAGCCCATTTCAATTTCCGGGGTTACCAGTTGGCATTAACTGGTTCATCAACTGGACCAGTTGCAACTAGCTTTCTCTTCTTGGATGTTTGCAACAACCCCCCCCCCCCCCCCCCCCCCCCCCCCCCCCCTCCCCCACCCCCTTTAATCCCGAACTGCTTCCGGCGCGCATGGACGTAATTATGGAAGATCCAACACACGATGTTCCGAAACGGGATGAGAACGTCATTATTTTGGTTCATTTATTGTGTAACATTTGCGTAATTAGTGGGTTGAACGCGGGTTACAGTAACATATTTCCTCTTCGACGTAAATTTCACGTGAATGAAGAACATGATTCATCTCAAGTCATCCTCGTAATATTCACGTGAATTTCACGCAGATATTTTGACTAAAACTATCACTAACGCTTCACGTGTTTCTGTGAAGCGATAATTTCGTTCATGAAGATGTAATTTCATAACCAAACAAACACAGGAGTATTATGTTTTCAAACCATGGTCTCCAAGGTAGGGATAATCACGTTATTATAATGGTGATATTGCAGTGAAAATTGCGTGATTTAGTGTACGTGTGTTTTAAGTGACCTAGTGCAATAAACGTATTAACACATTTACGTAAATGTCCGGTGTTTAAAGAACGTAACTCTCCTCAAGTCGATACCTTGATATTGACGTGATTTTCACGTGATTTTGTTTATTGGGAGAGTACATCTTTCAAGCCTAAACAAAAAATAATACAATTTTCACTTCTGCTGCTCCTTCTTGCCCCATTTTTGACCCGAATACTACCATAATCATTTGTTAATGTGAATGGTTCAAATCTAATAAATTATCTGTAAATGTAAAGGAATGTAATTATATGATTTTTCACAATGGAAAGAATACAGATTTAAATGATTTCAATATTGTTCTCGATAATGTCATATTGCCAAGGGTAGATAAAATCAAATTTATTGGTGTTTATTTAGATAGTTCCTTGTCTTGGAAATACCATATTTATGAAGTTGAAAGTAAGGTGTCGAAAAACATTGGCATTATATCCAGGCTCAAACATCTCTTGCCCAATCCCAATTCCTGCAAGTACAAAATACAAAAGCTTACACTATTGCAGAAGAAGATTATTCGTATAATATCCGGAATGCACTATCGTTCCCATACTGGTCCCATCTTTAAACAATTTATTTTCTTGAGATTCAGTGATATCAACTTGCACCAACAGGGTATTTTCATGTATAAAAGAATGAATAACATCTTCCCATCACAATTTAGTGATTTTATCAATTTTCAATGCAACTCGGAAACCCATACGTATAATACTAGAAGCGCTGCCAACATTCATCTCCCTAAACATAGAACCCGAAGATTTCAATTTGACATTCGTTACTCTGGGCCAAATTTTAGAACACCATACCATCTACAAAACTCGCTCATCTTGCAAACTTCTTCCCCGTAAGGCAAAAATGTATTTAATTGCTCGATATTGATACCCTCTCTTGTATTTATGTGTGAAATGACCTCTTGTGAAATTCAATGACATGTTTGTATTTTGATCACTTACGTACATGCCTCAGCTGTTGCTAGTACCATATGTATATTACCAGGACAATGCTGTCGGATAAAGCTGTTGCCTGTTTGATGATTGTGCTTGTTTTTAATGATATGTACCCGCTGTCTATTTTTAAAATTGTAGTACTTCGTTATTTGTATGATGTAATCACAGACACATGCACAGCCCAATTGAGGTAACTTTCTCTTTATAAGTGAACATGCCTTCCTATACTTAATTATATCCTCATTTTTGTTTTCTTCTCTCTGTTCCATTTATTATTTTTGTTCTTTCCTATCAACTTTCTGTTATATAAAATGTAATTTTCATAATAATATCTATAATGTTCTCTCGGTAATTGTGTTAATTTGTTATGGGCGTTCCCAACTCAAGTTATGCTTTCCGGGTTTTCGCCTCCTTCCGTATCTGAATTATTTACTGTATACGCTATGTTAAAATAATAGTTACATATATCATGTATACATACATTGTGTTTCATATTGTACTGTCGAGAAGGAAATAAATGTTAATAAATACAAGTACAAAAAATACAAATTATATTGCCGTCCGCCCTCTTCCGTCGTCCGTAAACCTTTTACACTTTCTTCTTGTTCTCTCGAGGGGTTTTGATTGCGCGGGAGTCAGAGTCCAATGCTAAATTGTTTTAATTCCCGTACGAACAACCAGGGAAGGTCGATTTTAATGATGTATACTATTGCATTATGTATATTCGATATTCTTCCATAAGAATTGGTGACCTTATGTTCAATTCTATAGACTTTGCATTTTCTCATTTTAGTTGGAATAGAAAAACTCTTTTGTTGTTGTTGCCCCCTCGATAAGTGTTATGTGCTGTGAGAGATCAAACTCTGAAATTGACAAATTCATGAGCAACATATTATAAACATAGTCTTACTGTACACATTTATAGCATCATGATACTGTTTGTATACATGATAATAATGTTTGAAGAATATTTGGTGCAGGATTAATAAAAGATGTGCTGACATACACTATATACGACATTTTCCATAAGGAACATATTCGTACAAGTCTACACATTAAACAAAATGCATTATGAATTTGGCAGGAAAAAAAACGGTAGATTTTGAAGGACTTAATTGTATTTCTCTCAAGTTTATTAATCACAACATGATGTTAATATATAAAGTCACACTGTGCTTGGTTTGACCAAGCAAATACAACAATTTCTGCCTTTCAAAACGTACTGCATAAAGGTTGAAAGCAAATTACAAAATACCTGGCTAGATATGTCTCAACGTTTACTACATGTAGTCTGATGAAGGCTTACTATCTGACATTCTTCAAGCGAAGCTTTGATATTGTTTGTTAAACTTTTGTAATAAAGTATGATCAGTGCCTTTTTCTTAATGTTTTCTTGTCATAACTGTCTCTGCTGGAATGAACATGAAGTTGGGTTTGATGACTAAATTTGTAGATATTTATGTCCAATTTTGTATAATTGATTCCCTGTTTTATCTCATTCAATCTCAATATTTTATGTATTTTTTCCTCAAAACCAAATAAACATAGACGAATCAACCAATTTAAAATATCGAACAATGTTAGAAATTCATACATACAAACTTGATCACAAAATATAACTTTCAAATTTGTATTATACTCAGGACATGTACGAAGTACAATACACAGTCATTTATAATATACATTACAATATGGAAGACAGGTATTTAATACACTAGCCCAGTAGCTTACGTCTCGACATTTCGTGTGATATTATAACGGCAAAATTGTTTACCCAAACATTTTTGTTTGTACATCTGCCATTCTTTTTTTTGTTTACCTCTGTCATTTTACCTATGACATTTTTACCTCTGACATTTATGTGACAAGAGAGGATGATTCTAAAGTCGTGGATGATCAATAGTATTTGTTCATTTGATTGTTCGGTTTATTTATTTGTTTTCCATTTCTTTCTTTTTTCTTTTTTCTTTTTTTAACCTGTTTGTTTGCTTGATTGCTTCACTGAGAAAGAACTGAGAAGGAACAGACTGTAAGTAATTCCCCAAAATGATGTACAATAAACAACATCGGCTCGCATTTGTTTTCCAATGCAGATGCATGGCGAAAATGGGTATGCTTGGATCGGATACCATCAACCACGTGGACCCTTTGCATGGTCTGACGGTTCTTCTCTCGGTTACGAGAATTGGCGCAGGGGTCAGCCGGATAACTACAACTACGGATATGCCACAGAGGACTGCGCTCACTTGCGCTCCGATCCGGCAGGATCGTGGAACGATTTCACCTGCAACAAACGAATCGGATATATTTGCAAGAAGTCCACAGCTTAGCCGGTTCACCATATCCGAACCTCCACCCCCCCCCCTCAAAAAAAAAAAGGCCTATATAAGAAACAAAATGTCAGCATCTTGTTCTGTTATGTCACTTTTTTGTCAGTTCATGTAACTTTGAAACAGTATGTCCTTCTATAATGCCTTAATTGTTCGAAATATGAGATTCCAATTTTTAAATGTCAGGTTTATGTTAGAACAATGGGCCGATTATCATTACAAAAGAAGTGTTCCCTGAAAAGGTGTTGCCCATTCAAATTCCCTTGTATCCGAATGATGAGCTTCTTATTTGTAAAGGTCAGTGTTCCCTCAGTTGTTAATTTTTCAAGAATATGCCTACTACGCCTAATACTCCGAATACTCCGATGTCCAAACATTGGTCGGTTTGGAGTCGGTATATAGTAGGTTCGGCTGTGCGATCGATTATCGTATCTCGGTTTTACCAGCAAACCGACCGATTATTGGCCATTGGAGGTTATTTATTTTGTTGACTACTCTCCATTGCCGGTTAAACAAAATTATCGTTGGTGTGTCGAATACCTCTGTCATACCAGCTAGACCGTCGCCAGACAGAACGAACCAAAATTACATTACCCTTATTGACTAAACATCATCGGTTTGAAGTCGGTTCGGCAGTTAGTCTGGGGTTTCGGACATATTGGTCCTCCTGCTACTTTATTGTTAATCATAATTTAGTGCGGAGTGCAATATTAATATTCTAATGTGACACAATTGCTTATTGTTCTTTTTCTTTGGTTTGTTCATTCTTCTTCTTCCTTCTTTGTCCTCCCTTTATTGTAAATCATATTTAGTGCGTAGTGCAAAATTATTATTGTAATGTGACAAAATTGCTAATTGTTCTTCTTTTTCTTTTTCCTCCCTTTATTGTAAATCATATGTAAGTGTGTAGTGCACAATTATTTGTTTAATGTGACACAATTACTTATTTTTCTTTTTGTTCTTTTTATCTTCTTTTTCTTCTTCTTCATCTTTTTCAATTTCCTCCAGTGGGTATCATAGAGCCCTCCAAGCTGCCAGTAACTATTTCAACATTCCGTTTTGTTCGAGTTTAACATAATTTCTTACGATAGAACATACGCTATCATCATAATTTACCATACTATTTCATTTATTCCTTTAGTTACTTTTTTGGTTCACTTCCATTAAAATAGATTAACGAAAACCTCAATTTGATTTGTGTTTTGTTTATACTTTTTGTGTTATACCTCGGTGAAAGTGGCGTAGACGAATAAGCATTATAAAATGAGGATTTGATTCATAAATGATGCAATATACAACTGGGATTACGGAGTGTCGAGATTGAAAGAGATTGAGAGAAAAAGAGAGAGATATATATATATATATAGAGAGAGAGAGAGAGAGAGAGAGAGAGAGAAAGAGGGGAAGAGCGTGTGCGACAGAGACAAAAGGGGAAATGAAGGGTTATATTAGGTATAGCACACCAAAAATAATTACAACAAACACATGTTATTTGATGGTTGCAAATGATCAAGCTTTATGAAAGCTTAACAAAACAAGAAACAGAATTGAAATCGGTCAATGCGTTGTGATTTTATACCATTTTTTTGATATCGCAAAATTAACGAAAAACCTGCCAGAAATGGTCAAATTGTAAAAAATGGCATAATTCGACAAAGTTGACAACTTAATTCATCACTTTCTTGGACACAAATAACAAATTAAATTATCAGACACTAAAATATCATCTTTGTGGTAAAAAAAACAAAAAAGAAAATTCATATATCTATTACCGTTTTGAAAACAGAAGCCAACAAAATAAGTCATTTTTGCAATTTTTGCGAATCTGCAGATATAAAAAAGTTGTGAAAATAACTAAGTCCGCCTAATTAATATGCGCATATGTAATCAAATCAAAACCGAACATGATACATCAGTGAAACCTTTATATATCAGACAGGTATGGAAATATATTTCATTTGTAATAAAATAAAAATGAATATTCATCAAATATGCAAATTAGGTCATTTCAGCTAATTATATATTCGCGTACTCATTATGCAAATTAGGAAAGTCAAACTGTTCATTTTGGGGGCATTTTTTAAATCATATATTCATAGATCATATTTACACCAAATATTGACCTTAAATTCCTTATAATTTTGCAATGCCAATACAATATGGCGATGGAAATTACTTGGATCACCGTCACAGCTATTTTCTCATGTGTTTCACAAATAATTCAGAAAAATTGATCATATGATAAGAATTTGTAGACTTTCAGCTACATCACAGTATATCTTTTTTTTCTTCAAAGATGTCAAATTTGAGGATTTATGACGATTTTCCGAGATACCATTCAATCTTTGGGCATGATGGTAACCCTCTTGGCCATAACATTCCACAGGAACTGAATTTCAGAGTAAAAGAAACTTTAGTGACCCCAGTACAGTTGTGGCTACCTTGAGTGTAAATAACAAATTAATTCAATGAGTGAAACACATGAGGATATTGCATTTTTGTAAGGAAGTTTTATACATTGAGGTGCATTTTTTTTACCACGCAAAATAGCAGCGCGAGTCAATGGGCGATCAGCGGGCCATGTCACACATGGCTGAAAAGACAATATTCTAATTCAATAATTAATATATTTCCCACATGCCTATGACAATGAAACTACACATAATTGTAGTTAAAGGTATGCTTGAAATATATGTGAAATAAAAATTCAAAAATATTTTTTTTTTTTTTAATACATTTACAAAAATTGCTATTTCTACCAACTGACTGCTGTTGTGTGTGTGTGTTCACGGGGCAGACTGTTTGCACAGGCAGTGTGATCACCCTAGTTATATAATGCTAACTTTATTGGTGGAGCTCGCGCCTTTGAATGTTTTTTAAACATATATATGGCGCCATCCAAATGATGTGAATCATCGTCAACATCATGATCATATAAAATGATAGGGGAGATCGACAGAAAAGAGAGAGTGTGTGTGTGTGTGTGTGGGTGAGACGGGGGAGTTAGTGAGAGAGAAAGAGAGAGAGACATAGAGACACATACAGACATGGGAAGCGAAGAGAGAGAGAGAGATGTGGTATAAACAAGAGAGGGAGATCGGGAGAAAGAAAAAAGAAAGAGAGAGAGAGTACGTGAGTATAAGAGAGAGTGAAGGAGAGAGAGAGAGGGGGAGGGGGGGGGGGGGTTGGGAAATCACACGGGAATCCTGTTTGGAACAATGGAAGAAAATGAAGCAAACTGCCAAGACAGAATGGAGCCATTACAGGCAGGATGTAACGAAAACAGGAGGAGGTCAAGTGGAGAAAAAAATCTCTCAGTTGACCTCCGTCCTGCGGGACATCATCCCAATTGAATTGAAACAATATCACAATCCATAATGACGACGATGCTACGTTGACGCAACACAATGATGAGGCAGTGTCTGCCCTAGAATATATTGGAGAAGCCCCGAAATCCTGTTTCGAACAATGGAAGAGAAGCAAACTGCCAAGACAGAATGGAGCCATTACAGGCAGAATGTAATGAAAACAGGAGGAGGTCAAGTGGAGAAAAAAAATCTCTCAGTTGACCTCCGTCCTGCGGGACATCATCCCAAATGAATTTAAACAAATTCACAATCCTTATGACGACGATGCGACGTTGACGCAACACAATGATGAGGCAGTGTCTGCCCTCCCAGGTCGGAAATCCCATAGAGACCAATAGAGACCTTTAGAAAAACTCTATTGGTCTCTAATGGTTTCTGTTGGAGTCTATTGGTTTCTGTTGGACCCATAGAATTAAATCCAATAGAGACCATTCAAACCATCAGAAACCGATAGAAACCAATAGCACCCATAGAAACCAATAGAAATAGAAACCAATAGGACCAATAGAAACCAATAGGACCAATAGAAACCAATCAGACCAATATAAACCAATAGGACTAATAGGACCAATAGAAACCAATAGGACCAATAGAAACCAAAAGAACCGATAGGACCAATAGAAAACCAATGAGACCAATAGAACCCAATGGGACCAATAGAAACCAATAGGTCCAATAGAAACCAATAGAAACCAACAGCTAAATCTATCTCATGCATATTCATGATTACTTTATACGTGTTCACAGAAAATTACATTTATCATAATTTGTTAAGTAACTTATGACAATGTACATCAATTTTGTGTTTTTTTATTTTTTTTCGGCAACTAATGACCAATAGAATTTGTTTAATCATGTTACAATTACATTTACGTTTTAGCAATATATGGGGCCTGTCACCACGAAATGAGTCCAGTGTCGCAAAAATTGTATTCCTGTTTTTAAGTATTATATGAATCTACATTAAGTAAGCTTTAAATTAAGGGGTCACACATTAAAATTGATAAATTATATCCAGAAATATGAACAAAAACCTAATTGGACTTTATAACAATGGGATTACCCAGTTTTGAGATAATTAGGTGTAAAGTTAATGATGCGTAACATATTATAGTCTGGTCAACAACAACATAGCAACAACACACTTCCCATCATTCGATTTCAATGAAACTTTCAACAAACAAAGAAATAATAAGTAGATTTTTGGAAAAATCTTAAATGTGGTAGGTGGGTCAAATTTCAGTACATACACACTATACATCGCTATTACTACGATTGAGCTAATGCGACACTGGACTCATTTCGTGGTGACTGGCCCCATATACTGTATATTGATTATAATGATTACTTACCAAGAAACAATTCATGTATGTTTATTATATAGAATAGTACAAGCCTTCAGTTAAACTAAAGGATATTCTTAAACTCACTTCAAGTGATCTATGTGATGGAGTTAATGCAATTGAGATTAGAATATACTTTTTTTGGTGGACAGTTGCTGAAATCGATTTTGATTTATCATTATTGATTTACCAATAGAAGCCATTGGACTATTGGTTTCAATAGGGAATTCTGAATATGGGACCATTAGAAACCCATAGAAAGATCTCTAATGGACTAACAGGAACCCATAGAAAATATCTAATGGACCAATTACAGAAACCCATCATAGAAGAAAATATCTAATGGACCAACAGAAACCCATAGAAGACATGGGTGGATGCAGGTCCAATAGAAGCTTTCTGTTGGTCGATCAGCATTTTTTTCTGTGGGTTTGTGTTGGTCCGATATATGTTTTCTAATGGTTTCTGTGGGTTCATCATTTCACTTTCCCTATTGAAAGCATTAGACACCAATAGCTCTAATGGTTTCTGATGGTCCAATAGGATCGGATCCTAATGGAATTTCGACCTGGGCTAGAGTATATTGGAGGAGCCCCGAAACAGGCGAAATTGATACATCTATCTCAGGAGTTCGAAATCACCTAGTAAGTTATTATTTTTGAATTATTTATTATTGTATTGATATAATTATCGACCAGCAGCACAACTCTGAAAGGGTCATTTTACAAACAGTACAGTCATTACAAAGCGTAGCATTAGTAAATAAATCAATAGCATAATGACAATTCAAAGAATTATATTGTGTTTGTTTATATACATTAAATGAAAGGATGTACTTGCAGGAACTAAAAGAGTAGGGGAAGGTATATAGCTGATGAAAGGGAGAGAGTGATAGAGCGAAAGGGACAGGAATAGAGAGGATGAGAGAAAAGGGGAGGTATAATGAGAGAAAGGCAGAGAGAGAGAAAAAGCAGGAATGAAATGAACATAAGTAAATAAATAATCACATTCCTAAATAAACGAAACTACACATTGCCTGAATAAACAACCTTTGAACGATACATCATCTAATACATGTAATTCAATTAGCCATGCAATTAGCCAAGCTAGGTTTTTGTTAATGTACATAAACCTTTTTCCCATAGTTCTTACTTTTTCATATAATGATTTAAATCTGGTTGACGGGTAAAAAATAAAAACAATCTGAATCGATTCGCAACTCAAACATCAGCGCGTTTATATACTGTATACGATATAGACTAGACGGACCGCCCTAGCGCCGGCGGTCACACACACACTTCGTGATGCCGTGCCGGTGCACGTACGTACGTACGTGCATGCTGAAAAGTTTAGTCCTAGATCTAATTCCAGTAGGACCAAGTCCATGTTCAATGCTTACGTAGCCTTAACAGTTAGACCTCGGGCTCAGCTTTTTTTTAAATTTCATTTATCCATTTTCAAAGCC